AATTTACAAAGTACTTTGGAAATGTCATCTTTGCTGATCTTGGATCTGCTATGGGGTTGGGTATTCCACTTCAGTGGGCGTTGATTGACTAGTGCCAGTAGTTTTCTCTGGTAGAAACCTTCCAGTCTGCAGAGGATGAAATCCACCAACTGAGGCACATTGAAGGCTTTCGACCGTTGTAGGATGGAGTCCTTTAAGACCCTCATGGCAGCCTCGGCATAGTTGTTGGTATTGTTGGTCCGAATCCTCAGTCCTAATCTAAACGCCTGGGCCCACACTTGACGTCTCTCGTATAGGGACTCGATGTATGCTCCATAACCAGGGTACCTTGATGGTCAAAGAGAATCATTAAACATCAATTTGAAGATGCATCCAAAACAAACATAAAATTCGATAAACATCTACATCTTCATTTTCTGTGATATATTCATAATGGATATAGGTACCATTCAATTTTTAATTACTATCAATTACATTGCTCTTTTTGATGCATGATATTTCTCATTTGTGAAGGATCTTAATTAGTGTACTTCTAAAGATTTGATAAGTTTTGTATGAGTAGATGCGCAGGGTATATATTTGTTTCCCGGATATTGCTAACTCCTAGGAAGGGGCCGAGTGACGTACTGGTGTTGCGACTACGGAGAGTCTGTCGTGGCTCTGGTGTGTACGCTTGCGTGGTCCCTTGTATGCGACGTTATATGGCAAGGAAACAACCCACAGGATGGATGCTTAACATGTCTAACGGCAGTGAAGCATTTATTTTAAAAACAACGTGCAGAGGTACATATACATAGAATGCTGAATATAGACTCTCACGTCATTCGGGTGTGTGCCTAAAAATCAGTCTGACTATAGACTAATGTTTAGAAAGACAGGTAGCTCCGACTAGCGGTGCATGCCTAATCTGCCGTTCAAAGTCGTGGTCACGGCACGTACGGGCAGGTCTCCGACAGGCAGAGCGTCTGGGCAAGGTGTCGTAACTCACCGAGTCAGGTTCTCTCTTTGTTCTGGCTCAGGATAAGCAGCTCCAATACCGGTGACGGTGTTACTTCGCAGAACGCAGATGAAGTGTTTTGATGTGGCCAATGGGCCCTTATTTATACGGGTTGCACTACTTAGAATATTCATGCGCATGGTGCGCTCAACCATTAAGTAAATTCTCTAACCCTATGGTCAGCCTTCGCATTCCTGCGTTGCTGTGAATTCTTTATAGTTACTTTGCAAATCTTACTTTATAGATACTGATATTGCTTTATAATGGTTAGTTAGAATTTTACAGATATTAAACTGAATGATATTTAGGATCTACTGCTCTCTCTAATTTTCCATCGGTTATCTCTGACTAGTACAGCTGGTACAAGCTGGCCACGCCTATGGCGGTAGTTATGGATTTGTTTTATACACCTGACTTTTTTTTTACTATTGTGACGAATTCGGTTTCCTCTACGACCTGCGGGGTGTCACGTCCCCAACCCAGGCTCGCAGGTAGCGGCACGGCGATGAGAGAATAAGCGCGAGATAGATGTAGCGTAGATGCGAATGGACCGGTTGCGGTCCGCATTTATTGCCTTAGAGCAAGTACGCCGGCTCGCCACGCTCCGACCCCCGGACCACGCTGTGCTCCCACCATCCTCACTCTAGAGGTCGCCCCCGCTGACCCACCGGATGCGGCACACACGTAGAATACACCTCAAGTTACAGTAGCTCCCTCTTTCCACAGGCACTTTACGTCGATCGTTCACATCAGCACTACTAGTACTAGCCTCAGCACACCATTGACGGCTCGAACGCACGGTAGAATTACGAGGCTGAACCCATGCACAAACACAAAACACGTACTGCTCACTCCGCTGCTGCCTGGAAAGACAAACACAAAACACGTCCTCCTCAAGCACCTAGAGTCCTAGACCAGAGAAAGAGAGAGAGACGTTCTAAACACGCTCCTTCCAAAACCTCACTACCATTCGCTGGCGCACACAATGGAGTGTGACAGGCCACGCCCCTTTTGGAACGCCAGGCTAGCTAGCTAGGCTAGCATACGCTAACGCGTGTGCACGCCAAACAGTCGCGTGGCGCCATCTATTGCACACAAAATTCGCTACACTGCCCCCTTTCCCACACCTTTTGGCGCCTCCTGGTGCCAACTCTATTCGTCGGCTTCCTTCCCCGGAGTCGGACCCTTGCTGCGGGAACCGCTCCCCCAACCCGAGATTGATACACCCAATATAGGCCCCCAAAAGGTATGTCACTTGCCCGAACGCGACCCCTCCAAAAGACGACAACAACTTGGTCACACCGAATACCGGCATATAGAACGGCAACAACATGGCCGTACGAAATCATACCCCCTTTAACACACAATAGTGACACGCCCCCTTTAACATACATAAGCAACGTGCCCGTACACAAACCCCTCCAAACTCCGACAACTACCCGGTCGCCTAGAACACGCATCAAACAACCCCCCCAAAATACAATACACGCGTGTCCTACTGTCATCCATCCGCAATGCACGCGCTGGGGGGGATGCGCGCATGACCGCGATCCCAGCCGGCAACAAGCGCGTGTCACAACACGCGCGCTTCCAGTCCAACACAACCTCTCTTACAATCTCCAACACCTCACGGACACAGTCCAACACAATTCCAATACAGCTCGCGCGACACAGCACGCACACAGCAATACGACACGCGCGTGCTAATTTCCATACCATTTCTAATATGATTTCTCATACATTTCTAGTCCGCGCGTGGACCGACACGTGCACAATCTAGCTGCACTCTCCGATGCGCGCAGCAGCGTACCATAATCGCGAACACGCTGTACTGGGTGAAACGCATGTATTCACTTCACTAGAATTTCATCTTAACTAACGAAGCCTTAGCTAAAATCACATCACACGCGCGCGGATGGAACGCGCGTATTCATCCCGTCAGCTCTGTCGCTGCAATTCTTCTTACACGCGCCGCGTGACATCTTGCGCGCGAGAGTACGGTCGCGTTTTAATTCGCTCTGCCGTTTCTCGCGACGCGCGGTGGTGTTCCCGGGTGGAGGAGCTTCGTAACTAATATGTTTATTTACAAACACCCGGAGAACACTTCCGGCACGCGAAGATCTTAACTAACATTTCAATACTACCCCGGAGAACACTTCCGGTATGCCGTTACTTAACTACGTACACAGATACAATACTTCCGGAGAACCCTTCCGGTATATTATCCCTAAACTCAGGATAGCGCTACGCTCCTGTTTACCCCTCTCTGCCCCATCCCAGGCATCTCAGACAGTACCCACTCATGTGGCGCCCTGTGTGCACCGCCATCTTGCAGGGCCGTCTCCCTCTACTCCCCTTTCTCTCATCCCCCACACTCTGACTCTGACGCATGGGTCGACGACGAAGTGGCGGGCGACTCGGCATTTCCCCAGCCGTAACGGCTTCCGTCCCCCGGGAAAGAAAAGGGTGTGAAGGCAAACGTAACCACCCGGCGGACATCGACGCGCCGCTTATAACCTCTAGGCTGCGTATCATAGGCCCGGTGTTGGCCTAGCAGTGGGTGGACGTGACCCAACTCACCGCGGCCTCTTCAAGACCACTGCGCCGGTGCTCGTCCTTCTCCATCTCTTATCCGTAGCTCGTCACGTTCTGTGCCTGGCGCGCTGCTGTCGCCGTGTCCTTCCTCGTCTGTCGACGCTGCGGAGTCTCCTCGGCTTCCTCCAAGCCCTCGCCGCTGTGGGATCTTCCTGTCCCCAGCTCCGCTGCCGCTGTCCCCTCCATCTTTTCCTCGCGCCATGTTTCCTCTCCCCGCCTAGCTAGCTCTCCCCGCGGACACTTCTAAGCGCTTCGGCTAAGCGCTCGCTACCTTAGCCGGGATCACAGGCTCGTGCCAGCGGTGATCGAATCGCCAGCCCGTGCCCATGCTCCCAGCTCGTGTTTGTATCCCGCCCCGGCAAGCGTTTCTGCCTTGAGCGGACACACCGCCTGGTATTTCTACGCGCCCGGCTGGCGCTCGTTTGTATCCCGCCCTGGCAAGCGGTTTCTGCCTTGAGCGGACACACCGCCTGGTATTTCTACCGCGCCCCGGCTGGCGCTCGTTTGTATCCCGCCCTGGCAAGCGGTTTCTGCCTTGAGCGGACACACCGCCTGGTATTTCTACCGCGCCCCGGCTGGCGCTCGTTTTTATTCACTGCCGATAGCGAAGGGGCAGCTTGACCGGTCTTCCTCCCCGCGTGGTCTCCATCGCCGCGCCTACTATCCTGTGGTCACGGCAACACTGTGACGAATTCGGTTTCCTCTACGACCCGCGGGGTGTCACGTCCCCAACCCAGGCTCGCAGGTAGCGGCACGGCGATGAGAGAATAAGCGCGAGATAGATGTAGCGTAGATGCGAATGGACCGGGGGTCCGATTTATTGCCTACAGTACTGGCCGCACGCTCGGCCGGACACGCGTGCTCTCACCATCCTCACTCTAGAGGTCGCCCCGCTGACCCACCGGATGCGCACACACGTAGAATACACTCAAGTTACAGTAGCTCCCTCTTTCCACAGGCACTTTACGTCGATCGTTCACATCAGCACTACTAGTACTAGCCTCAGCACACCATTGACGGCTCGAACGCACGGTAGAATTACGAGGCTGAACCCATCACAAACACAAACACGTACTCACTCCCCTGCTGCCTGGACGCAAGACCAAACACAAAACACGTCCTCCCTCAAGCACCTAGAGTCCTAGACCAGAGAAAGAGAGAGAGACGTTCTAAACACGCTCCTTCCAAAACCTCACTACCATTCGCTGGCGACACAATGAGTGTGACAGGCCACGCCCCTTTTGGAACGCCAGGCTAGCTAGCTAGGCTAGCGTACGCTAACGCGTGTGCACGCCAAACAGTCGCGTGGCGCCATCTATTGCACACAAAATTCGCTACACTATATAGCATATTTTACTAGATAGGAACAAGTATGATCTCTGAAAGAGGGTAATCCACTATACTTTGGATCCTCATTCCTCCACCGCTTGTATTTCGTTCAGGGTATCGGAAAGCTTGTAGAACTTTGTCTTGTTCTCATGATAACTTTGCTTCAGCGCATGATGATGTTTTTGCTTCAGCGCATGTTCCACTCTGTGATTCCACTGTAAAAACTAATTATGAAGGAGAATGTTACATGAGTAATGTACGAGAAAATATAATATGTGTTGTATATTATTTCAGCATGACCGGATTAGAGAGGTAACACAAGAAGGAATATAACCAGATCAAGACTGGGTGCTAGGGTGTACGGTGGACACAGCAGTCTGAGACTTGATATGATGAAAATTTCACGTGCAATCATGACAAGCCACGTTCCTAGCTGCACGACTCTGTTTCTGGCGTTTGCAGTGGCAGCACTGTGTGTGCAACAAGTGAATTCGTTTGCAAAGAGTGCAGGTAGATCGTCATTTCGTCCATGTACAAACAACGTGACAAACGAAGTCGTTGATTTGACTGCGGAGTGTGGACTGCCACACATTCCCAGCGTGACGGCATCAGCGCCCCCTGCTGTGCAAGAGAAAGCCGTGAGAGACCTAGTCGAACGACTGTTGCCACGGCGCGCTGCAGAGTTTATCATCACTGTCGATCCTACGCTAGGACCCACACATCATCTGACCTTCAGCATTCAGACACTTACATCTACAAATGGATCCGTCCAGGTTTCCATTGCGGGGACGAGTGGGGTCGCTGCTGCCGGCGGTGTGAATCACTACCTTAAGTACTTCTGCCACGCGCACATATCGTGGTCGGGGGACCAGCTGAAGCTGCCAATGCCGCTGCCGGAGTTACGTGAGAGGATTGTTGTGACGTCGCGTGACACGCTGCGCTACTACCAGAATGTCTGCACGTCCAGTTACACGTTCGTTTGGTGGAACTGGACGCGGTGGGAGCGAGAGATCGACTGGATGGCGCTGAATTCTATCAACTTACCGCTTGCCTTCACCGGTCAAGAGGAAATCTGGTACCACGTGTTTACTGGCCTGGGCTTCAACGAGACCGAGTTAGCCGATTTCTTCACTGGACCGGCATTCCTGGCATGGGGTCGCATGGGAAACATTCAAGGATGGGGTGGTCCGTTGCCACGCTCATGGATGAAGGCACAGTTCTTACTACAGCGGAAAATTGTCGAGAGGATGAGGGAGTTTGGAATGACTCCTGTGCTGCCAGGTTTTGCCGGTTACGTTCCGAGAGCAACGAAGGAGCGGTTTCCGCAAGCCAACGTGTCAGTGCTTGACCCTAGTGGCTGGGGTCACTTCTATGACAAGTACTGTTGCACCCTGTTCCTTGACCCTCTGGACCCACTTTTCACCAAGATTGGCTCATCATTCATCAGGGAAATGAAAGACTCATTTGGAGTTGATCACATATACAATGCTGACCCCCTGAATGAAATGGTACCTACATCACGTGATCCCATCTTCCTCGCAAACATTGGCAAATCTGTTTACAAATCTATGACGGTGGCCGATCCCAATGCAATTTGGCTAGTTCAAGGCTGGATGTTCTACAGTAGCTCTGAATTCTGGAAGCCAAAGCAAGCAAAGGCATTCCTGACGTCTGTACCTCAGGGCAAAATGTTGGTACTCGATTTACAGGCTGAGCTTTTTCCACAGTATCGTCGCCTGGAGTCGTTCTATGGCCAACCGTTTATCTGGTGCATGCTACACAATTATGGTGGCGTGTTGGGTATGTACGGTGCAATAAACCAGACTGCTGAGGGACCAAGCAAGGCTAGAATGTTTCCCAACAGCACACTAGTAGGCACAGGTGCAACGCCAGAGGGTATCTTGCAGAATGACGTCATGTATGATCTGTTGTATGAATTGGGTTGGATGGATGGAGTAAACTTGACGGCATGGGTGCAGCAGTACGCGTGGAGAAGATACGGAATGTGGTCGCAGCCACTCGTCCAAGCTTGGCACCTCCTTGCGTCAACTGTTTACAATTGTCAGAATAACCTCAGACACCACGGAAAGTACGTAATTGTTCTGAGACCGTCTCTCAAACGCGTGCAATTAGTTTGGTACGACGTTCCGCAGTTCCTACAAGCGTGGGACGTCTTTGTTTCATCTGCTGACGCGTTGAAAAATGTTTCCACTTTCCGTTACGACCTAGTCGATACGACCAGGCAAGCCTTGCAACTAATAGCAGCTTATCACTATACAGAACTTGTAGGCGGTTATAGATCCTGGTCTATTCCCACTGTTCAGAAAGCTGGGAGGAAACTTCTCTTGGCACTTGACAATCTAGAATTGATTCTTGGTACAAATGAGAAATTCCTGTTAGGTTCATGGCTTGAAGCAGCAAAATCGCTGGCTACTAATGATCAGGAGAGAGTGCTTTATGAGTATAATGCAAGAGTGCAAGTCACTCTGTGGGGTCCAGATGGAAACATCTTAGATTATGGAAAGAAACAGTGGGCTGGACTTGTGTCTCATTACTACAGGCCACGTTGGCAGTTGTTTGTGGATATATTACTGCAATGCCTCTCGACGGGTAAACACTTCAATCAGACGGCCTATAATGAAGATGTTTTTAGAAACGTCGAACGGCCTTTTACATTTGCTAGAAATAGCTTTCCGATAGTGCCAACAGGTGACTCTGTGGTGGTCGCCAAGCAGATTCATGCACAGATGGCAGGTTGGCGCAGCAATGTCAACACGGAGGTTTTTACGAAGATGTACACAGACTACGAAAATTGGCGCTTGTTTCTCAGTGAGAAGGACAGATTTACTGACCTTTTATAAAAACCCTGCTAGTCGTCAATAAACTGATCGCGTGTTGTGGAGAAATTACAATATTTATGCATTTCAGTTTTTTCAGATTTTTGTTTATTTTATGAAATTGCACTTATATCATGCCTGGCACTGACTTTATGATGCAGTGACATAGCTAATACTCATGGTAGCACAATAAGGCAAGATGATGTCGTGTATATATACGGGTTCTCACGACTCATTGAAAAAATACAAAATCATTAACCCTTTGCTCTCCACATGCATTTAAGTGTTAGCTAGGTCACGCTCCACTGCAATATCAGCTGAGCACGCCAGCCGCAAGTTACAAGCCGACATGCAGCAGATAGAGAGAGAGAGAGAGGGGGAGAGGGAGGGAGAGAGAGAGAGAGAGAGAGAGAGAGAGAGAGAGAGAGAGAAAGAACGAGAGAGTGAGAGCTATTTGTTTTTACCTTACATTGCTGCAAAAACATTACCTAAATAGGAAACATAGACTCACAATATACAACAAGGCATCTTTTTGCAAAGTTTTTCATACCATTTCTCTGTACTTCTTGAGTATATGGTATTTTTTGAAGCACTCCTACATGCAATGCGGGCTTTTCTCCACAAGTTTCACAAAAGTATATGGATGATTTTCAGCCACCTGGCATTTTCCTTGTGCTACAGCACACACAGGCTCATCATGCCCACCCTCTCTCCTCACCAAAAAGTGGGAACCACTCGGTTTCTCATGTGTGAGTAGATGTTGGTCGAGCACGTTTATGTAGTTGAAGATTTCTGGTGTTCTCAACGAGCTGCTCAATCAATTTCTTCCTGTATTGCAGATGAATGGCAGAGCGTTGGTTATTGTCCTTCTTGTCATGTTATGCAAATGGAAATTGTTCACCATACCCACATCTAACACCCAAAAAACATTTTACACCACCATTTTTAGCTCGCATTGACATCATCAAGATGAGCTATTGCCATGGGGTGTCGTCCGTTGTACGTCCGTCCGTCCGTCTGTCCGTCAACATTTGGCTACGGTCAACAATAACAATAACAATAACCCACATGTTTCAAATTGCATACAGTTGTTACTCCTGTGGGAGAGATGTGAACGTCCTATTTTGGAGCACGCCAGTCGACCTACTTTCGAGCCACACCAACTTTTTGGCAAAAATGGAAATGGCCATCTAGATTCATTCGATTTTGTTAAATTTACTTACCTACTTACCTAACCATACCTACGTGTAATACTGTGTTTTAGATTCTTCGCTACAGTAATTTAACTGGAATATTTTATTACTTTTATTTGCGCGATAATCGAAAACCAAAATGGCGATCATTTAGGCTTAGCGCCATCTCTCGCCCAGATTTCAGACTCAGATCTGAAACATTTATTTTCGCATCAAAACTAACCCTGAAACAAAACAGTGAAATTTCTATTAGTATAAAACAGGGAATAGGGACTTTTGATCACATATCGGTCCGTCAAAATGAAACACATACCAAATTTTAAATATCATCTCCCGCTTCTATCACACCCAAGGTGAGCTATAGTGTCATTGACACTTTCGTTTGCCAATGTAGTCAGTGAGTAATTTAATTGTGCTGCCTGCTACCTGGGCAGGTTGTGGTGCTACAACTGGTGCTTCTACGTGTAACATCCAAAATATTTGGAGAAACCGGCGCCTAGAGAAAATTGTTTCAAAAATGGAACTATGGCGTGTCAGTTTTTCCACCTGAGTTGTCAAGTTCTCAATGAAATCTTCTAATTGATTCAACAATAGTGATCAATTTTGCTCGATCTGTGCTAACCCCCTGCTTGTAAGTGCTCTCCTCAACATCTCTAAGGTCATCGCACTGGCTGAGGTAATCAATGAGTCCCTGACGCATTGGGTACTTCTTGCATTGACTCATCATGCACGATTCACGTTCATCTGAACATACACAGTATCTGATGTGTTCATGGAGATTGCACTTCAAACAAGCTTCCACCATCAATTCAGGGTATTGCTGGTACTTGCATACACAAACAGAATGTGTCCCAGAAGCTCCAGCCAAAACACACCGCTTTGGTCGCAGGGAAGCAAATGTAGAGAAACCAACTTTCTTATCAGGGTGTTATTCATTCCAGGCAGCGTGTAATTCCTTCACATTTGATAGCGCTAGACGTTTTTGATGCTTAACAGAATCACCATTTCTGTCTCGAGCCGTCACAGTTCCTTTCATCCCAGGACACATACCGCTATTTTAATCCATTTCATAGAATGCAACTATTTCGGTTACCAATTCTGGAGACAAGGCTTTTCCCTTATTTCTGTCACTATGTCCAAGTATTCCTTTCTCTGTTTTCACGGCACGACTTTTCTTGACTAAATAATGAGAAGCACCAAATTCCTGCATTGTCTTTTCTATTGTAAAAGGGGACAAATACATTACGATGTGGTGTTACCGATTTGCTGCCACCAAAGGCTGAATACGCTAACTTGACTGTGGACAGCCACTTCGGTCTAACTTCATTGATCAATGCGCTAGTCACGTACGAATGATCCGACCCAGAATCAAACAACAGAGTTGCCTTTACAGGACCTCGCTCACCTTCGACGAGCACACACGCTGTTTTCAGAACGACACCTTTATGCAGATTCTGCTCAGTGGAGGCAACACCCACATGTGACATATCGTCAGACGCTGGAGCTATACGCTCCGTGTGAGGCTCTAGGTTCTCACCAGCCCTACACAACACACGGTGATGATATCTTTCCTTACACTGAGCACGTTTCTTCTTACAATGTCTAGCCACATGGCCCCATTTCAAACAAGCAAAACACAAACCCACACCTCGCCCCCTCTCGCGTCACACTTCTACAGTAAGATTTCCTAATGCAGGCATGACAATCGATCGTAGAATGCACATGGTGACAAAACGCGCAACTTCTTACATCGGATGGGGCGTGAAGAGCTGCAGCTGATGCTGTTTTCGCACGCCTGACGCTCCTGTCCTGTCGCTTAACCTCTAGCTGATTCTGTTTGTATGTCGTACTAGTGTTAGAACTAATAACTGACTCAACCCTGTAGATTTACAGACACTTACATCGTCTTTATTATCTGGAACACAGGTTTCTTTGTCATGCACAGATCACAGGCTTTCCAGCAGTCCTTGACAACATTTTAGGCAGAAATTCAGGTTTTTTTAGGGCTATTTTAGAAATTTTTAGGGATGAATCGAAACATTTTAGGGATAAAATAAGTCACTTACCTTTTAGAAATATCAACGTGTTAACTTACAGATACAGTTCTATGTGGTATGTGTCCAGTCTACCAGCTATTCCTATCTTCCAAGTCCTCGATACGACTGTACATCATCAAGTTTCATGCTAAAAAAACAACTTTTATTGAACATGTTATCAGTTTACAACATACCCTAAGCATCATCTGCCTTCAATTGGCTTATATATGTACAGGCAGTCTGGCAAACTTTGTTGAAAAAAACAATCCCTCAGACCACTTTATAAACATCCAGTTTCCCACTATAGAAGTATAAATTATAGTAAGTATATACATGTAAACAAAACACATTTAGGAAATCTACAAAATGTGACCAATGCTATGGGACATGAATTCTATAAACCAAATAAACATGTTAAAACTCATGTAATCGTTTCTCAAATGTTTACATATACATGTATATCTATTCCTATCTTCAATCCAATATCTAATCTCTTTTACTCTGCTCTTGGAGCAGCACTTCAATAAGACCATTTGCAACATTAATGTCATTCTCCAGTCTTTCATTTGCTTCATCAAACAGCAATTATAATGAATATCTACGCTGATATAGCCTTTTCCTTTATTTCTCTCTGAGTCATAATTTGCTTTTGATCAAATTCTTTTTCTTCAGACTGTTACATTTACTTCATACCTTTCCCTTTTTTCTCTTTTCTGTAAACTCTTTGAGAACTCGTCCAACATTTTCTTTCTTTTTCCATCCAGCTCTTCCTTTGTCTTCCTGTTCTTTTCAATCTTATGTCTAATGTCTTTCATTCTATTTTTGGTGACTTCAATGAGACCCTGGGCAATGCTAACTTCATCTAGGCTCTTATTCTTAATGCCCTTCTTCAGTCGGTCATTTGCTTTATCCAACAGCTTCCCAGCAGATCTGAGATCTTCTCCTAACTGTCTCTCTTTAGCTGCTAAGGCCTTTTCCTTTATTGCGAGTGTTTGCTTTTGTTCTTCAAGCTGTTTCTTCTTTTCATCAAATTCTTTCTGTTCAGATTCAGATATCACCTTTGCTCTCTTCACTCTTTCCTTTTCTAGATGCTCATCTTCAAGTCTTCTTTTATACAGACTGTGCGACTGTTTGCCTGCATCAAGCAACTTCTTTGTAAGGGGCATTTGTGCAACATTCCCCCCACTCACTCTAATTGCATCTTTCACGACTCTGAGCCCATTAAGCGAAGTGTCTGACAGGAGAGTTCTTTCATTGGTGAGAATCTTCTTGTTTTCTGACAAACTTCTCTCCACCTCAGCATTTCCATTTGCAATACACAACACAGACTTCACCAGCTTATCAAGGACTTTGAATTTCACGGAACTGTCTGGCTGTTTCCGTTGAAGAATTTGGTTCCAATAGCTGTCAACTCTCACAACTTTTCCTTCTTCATCCACTTTCAGATCTTCAGGGATTTGTTCCAGCTGGTACATTTTCCATTCGTATGTGAGCTGTGTGATCTGGTCTTCCTCTACAATCTGAGGTACTTTCTGAGCAATGCGCTTTATCTTTGTTGCTCCACGTTCTGACTTCTGTTATTGTGGATGCAAACAATGCAAATCCTTCAGAAGTTCGTTGTCAACTGGCAATATTTTCTGCAAATATTTTGTGACGGTCTGGTAGAACTTTCTCATGTGCAGGACTGATCTTTTTGTCCAAAAGTGACTGGGTAGACTGTCCAATTTCCATATCAGTTCGTTGACTCTCAGGTAGTTCTACATCACAACTGGCCATTTCTTTCTCTGTTTTTAACTCTTCAACCTTGCTCCCTTTCAGAAACCTGAGCATGAATGATCTC